TATTGTCTTTTTAACACAAATATGTTTTGTAATTGTTTTAGTCACTTAAGGGTATTTTTGTCTTTTTACAGCAAATAAGTCATTTTTGGATTATTGTCAATTGTAAAAGTCAAAGTGGAATTATGGGGCTTTGACTAGGTCATTTTTACAAGAACTCCAAAGTTAGGGGAGGGAGAAAACGAACACTCCAACAATCAACAAAAACTATCACAAATATTAACATTAATAGCCCCGAAAACCAAATCTTAACTTGATCATTTGGAATGGCATGGCCTTCATCTTCTCCTCCACCACTCTCAGAATTACTGCGATCTCACAACCCTCATCTTCTTTCTCCTAATCCCTCTCCCATCTCCAAACTACCCCTCAACACTTTCACTAATTCCTCGCAGGTTCTTCTGAAGAAGAACAATTCCACTAGCTTAATATGTTCTTTTTCCAATCTAACTTCCTCCGATGGCTTGTTTAATTACTCATCTTTCCATTTCTGTCTATTTCGAGAAAACCCATATTTCTCTATCCCATTTCTCACTCTTGTTCTCCTCTTGCAATTCTATATCTTGGTTAAAACGGCACAGGATCGGTTCTCAGTGGTGGTTACTAAGCTTTCTATGTTGGAAATTTACTTAACATGCACAGCGAAAAATTAATTATTTTTCAATTCCCATCACGGATTTGCTTTGTATTTAGATAGAAACTGTGTTGAGAATAATACATTTGATAAATTCTGCAAACTCTTTTTCTGATTCTCGAACTCCAATGATCACGATCTACAATATAAGCTGTCCAATTGTCCAACCTCCAATGGTGATCCACACAGAAAACAAGAATGACGGTTAGGGTTTTTCTTTTCTTGTGCTAACAAGAATAATGAAAATTCTCTACAATTTATAAACCCTAGCAGCCTATTAATATAAGCCCAAGTGGGCTGGCCCATCTCTAACTTAACCCGATCCGATATTTAATTAATCAAATTATTAAATACGGTCCATGAATTAATTAATCCAATTAATTAATTCGGGTCGATTATCATTTAATTAATTGTCCAACACTTGTCAATTAATTAATTGGTAAATTTCATTCTTCTGGTTCTCTTTTGTGTGTGACCTATTAGGTTCACAATCACGATGCCTAACGACGTGAATTATTATTTTGATCTAATCAAAATCGATAAATTAAACCACCCCTTTTAATTTATCACTAATTCACATTCGTCGTCCCAAATTGACATCTAACAATATGTCGGGCAATACATGTGATGAGAAATGTCACGTGATGTGACAAACCAAACTTGTTCGTTTACCGTGAAATTATAATCCTTTCGTCAATATGATTCAATCAATAATGAGAT